GTACGGCACGTTTATACCGCACGTTTTTCATAGTTAAACAATGCCTTTTAAACGATTGTTATCCACTTAAATTACAGGGTCGCTTGACCAACAACCTTCATCTCATTCGCTCAGCAAACTGCAAGACAGCCACCATGAGGTGCAGAGAGACATGACTAATCCTACGATAGAATTGACGGACAAACGTCCACAAGGTAACAGTCGAAGTAAAATAGATGTATCACGTCTGAAGAAATTCATGGCTCGTGCGCGTTCTACGGTACGCGGGAAAGATAGTATTTATGACATTCTTGGAACCAATCACAGCGCTTTGGATGTACGGTCACGGCACATGCCTGAGTTTTTTCTATCGTCACCTTGATGACGGATATGTTTGTTAGATACTCGGTGCCACTCCCCCCACAAACACGACCGTTTGATGAAGCAAGAAGGAGGGGAAAAAGCTCAGATATCAAATAGGCTGTTTGCATGATGGCATCATTTTACTTTCACTACCAAAATGCTACGCCAATTTTCTTTCTTATTCAAATTTGTATTTTGTAAGACGACARTTGGTACTAATTTACRAAACARAAGAAAGTGTGCAAGGGAGTCTGGTAGTGKTAGTATAAGACRCTATAATGCRAGTGACCTATTCAAATTCRTATTCCRAGTTGTCTTTCAATTCCATCTTTTCCCAGAGAGAACCAGTCTATCCCAACCACAGGCGACTCTAGAGACGAGCRGCTCTATTACATTCAGTGCACCAAAACCTCGTGTCCAGTCAGCCAAAGARGCTCGACCTCCAAGACCACAGGCAKCCMACGAAACAGTSTCMAAACGAGTYCTATCCGCACAACCTACTTTCAAAGCTATACGCATTGAAGACATCATGGACAAGTCTGGTTCACTTACGTAAGTGTATTTTGTCGTATTCAAAAAGGAATTGTGCCGTCATTACGTCATTAGTTTCGGTCCCAGATCCTCACGGGCCCTCTCCACTAGTCAATAAATCACCCCTCTCTCCCCTCCCCCAAAACAGGTTTACGTTTCAAATAAACTGCAAATGGAAAAGTGGATCACAGGCACCCCAGGGCCCTCCGTCATGGCTATTCCCCAACATGTGAGATCGCTCTCAAATACCCCGCAGTGCCGTCCTTTATTAAGGAAACAATATGGCTTCAGTTCGACCCCGTTGAGCAGCTCCACTTCTTTACTTGCGATAGTATTATTTTGATAAATTGTATTTATTGGGATTYTATTTGCGACTGATTTCAATGATTTGAATGGTTGTTTGTCTTGATTCCAGGAAACTTCAAGCCCGCCAAGCCTTCGCAATGTACTTACAACGTGTCCAGCAACGATTGATATATGAAGCCAAGTAAGTACGAGTTTTCATTCTCTTCAGTTATTAGGAATAATTTCTCTKATTGTTTGCTCAGAAAGGTAAAAGAATTTATAGGAACGGAAATGGAGGATTGCTGGAAAATAGATATTGTGAATAAGAGARAGCAAAAATATGGAGATGCGGGGTATCGAACCCCGGGCCTTCCGCATGCGAAGCGGACGCTCTACCACTGAGCTACATCCCCTGTCTCATGTGATAGTGTAATAGTCGAAAGATGTSTTCCCTAATCGTGCAATTTTCTCAGCAACTTGTCTTGCAATGCTTGAAAATATAGCGTTGCTAGTTTCCGAGGTGAGGTGTTACACTGCAACGCGATCTCAGCAACTCGCAACATTTTTTGGCTCCTAGGGAATTAATGACAAATGTGCGCAAACGCTCTTGAAAAAAAAATCTGCCTTACAATTGCAAAAAAAAAAAAAAAAATTTGTTGGGGGAAGGGGGGATGAGCACTGTGCAATGGCGTTGCCAGTTGCTGCAATCCGTTGCGAAAAGAATAACAGAGTTCTACGCGCAACAAAAGTGCGAGACGACCCCTGTTACACAATGACGTTGCAAGACAAGTTGCTGGGAAAATTGCTCAGTGTAACTGGGTATTTACGTGTTTGATTGTTGTTTTGAGTTAACTATCTAAAGATTTCACTTGATTTTGTTAAATTGTTTTGATGTCAACTGAAATGCTATCTTAGTACGTGAGCAATGGGAAGGCTAGTTAGGCATTGCAGGCTACGTAAAGGCTAAATATTCTCTTTTGTTATTGACAGCTACTATCGCTATTATTATGCGCCTATTTTAAACTTTGTTAGGCGYTATTGCTGCTATCGCTTTGAGGCAATGAACTACTAACAATACAGTGGRAAAAAGTAGATATAAGAAAGTAAATAAAGAAATGCTAAAACTAAAGATTTGGAGATGCGGGGTATCGAACCCCGGGCCTTCCGCATGCAAAGCGGACGCTCTACCACTGAGCTACATCCCCGAATTGTTAAGAATGATACCAAATTAACAGACGACTTTGTGCCAAAATATGTTCTTTTTTTAAAAGATTCCACAATTATTTTGTTTTTTCATTTTTTGCCTGGGATTTTTTCAAAGCAAAGTTTTTTCTTGCAGTTATGACTCTGACGATTCTACAGACTCGTCAAGACAGGATGAACAAATGGTAAAGTTATTATTTATTTATCATGTTCTGTCTTTAGTTTGAATGGAGTGATGCATGAAGAGGACGCGACCACAGACGACGGCGCAAGCGCGTGCGCTCACTGTATACGCAAAGYGTAGAAACRAGTTGAAGTTGCACCCTATGAATAAAGGACAAATTTCTATCAATAAAGACGCGCTCTTTTCTTCCATACTGGCGTCGTTTTAAAAACGACTTCCTATGAGGACGGTAGCCTTGAATASGAAGCTGCGCGCATATAAATGAACGTGTGTGCGACGCTGTTTCGATTCCATTCAGCCTGTCTTATGTAAGCCTGACTAACGTATTGTAATTATTATTGCAGTCCCTAGTGATTCGATTCCTGAAGAAAGCGGCTGGTAATCTCCAACAGCCCTTCAAAGTGGTCATACCAAGCCGTAAGCTACCGCTGCATGACAGGTAATGTCACGCGCAGCAACAAGACATGACCTTAAGTAACGCAATTAGACGGAAGTACACAGCAACACGACATGACCTTAAGTAACGCAATAAGACGGATGGACCCAGCAACACGACTTGACCTTAAGTAATGCAATAAGACGGAAGAACGCAGCGTGGCGTAATCCACCGCAGTGGTGCAAAGAACTAACAGTAACGCAATGCAGCTTGACAATGCGTCTCGGCATAATACAGGAGTATATCAGTTCATTAATTCGATGACACATTACTGGAGCGTGACGCAGTCCTGCAGTAACACAAAACATCCTGCCGTATAATTGGACAATGAATAACGCAACAGAGTGTCTTCACCTTCAAATCAGGGTAACTCATCAGTGCACGTCAAAAGCAGTGGCCAATCAAGACCAGGACAAACATTAAATGCATTAACTGTTGTTTTACCTCTCTTTTTCAGGAGAAGAATTCTTGCCAAACAGTTAGGAGACTTTGTCCACGTCTATGGAAAGGTATTTCTGACTCTAATGATTAAATACTCCTTATAGATGGAAAGACAGACAGACAGACAGGTTGGTCGAGGGAGAAAGGGAGTGCTTCCAGCCAGTTAGAGCATGTTTTTACTATTTTGAAGGAAACAAATCAGATCCAAAAAAGACAAGAAATCAGCCGCACGTATGGACTAAACAGAAACACCAGCAACGGCAATGAAATAGCAGACGAGGACTTCAAGATCTTCATGGCGATTGCATGGTACGTTATGAACAGTATGAAAATGTGCGGGGCTAATAAACACAATTAACAAAGATGACAGCCTAAAAGCGCAATAACGCGTAGCAATTTTCTATGCAACTTGTCTGGCAACGGCGTTGCGACACAAGTTGTTTCAAGCATTGCAGTGTGTAGCCTACAGCGCAATTTGAAAACAATTGTTGCAAAGCAAATTGCAGCAATTGTTTGCGTCTCCATTGCATCGTGTAAGCACTCATGCAGATTGTGTCGCAACGCTGTTACTAGACAAGTTGCATAGAAAATTGCTCCGTGTAAATGGGTAAGACGATGTCAGCTTAAAGTTCTCGTCAGGATATTCTTCAAAAGTTGCGTTACCGTAATTAATATTTTCTTACTGACAGTGAGACAGAATTGGAAGACTTACTGACCAGGTACACCAAACTTAACAAGAGTGCTAATGTGTTCCTGGGTGGCCCCCCTGAGAAGGCTAAAGAAGACGATGTTGGAATAGGCAGCGTAGAGACGGGACTGAACAGAAGAAAAGAACCAGAGACTTCATTACGTGTGCACTTACGGAGGTATATATAATCTATTACGTAAGGCTGCAATCATAATGTATGGCAGAGGGAGGGGGGGCAGGTGAAAATTAATTCTTAAGACCTCCCCTCAAAGTCATGCAAAAGAATACGATCCCCCCTAAGCAAGGCTCGTAGCTTCTTCCAAAAATTGTGCATCCCCCCCCCATTTTTCTGATACAAATTTGCCCATCCCCCCTTTTTCCTACCAAAATTTTCCCGATCACCTCTGAATTTCACCTGCCCCCCCCCCCTCCCCTCTGCCATACATTACGAACGCAGCCTAAGATAGACTAAACGGTGATTGAATCATCCCCACTTCCATTACTATCATCACATCACTACCAACCACCATCATCACTGTCAGCTTCATCATCATAATTTATTGTCACCATCATCATCACCATCATTATTATGTATAATTACTATCATCATCAGTATCATCATCAACAAGTATCATCATTATCATCACCACCATCATCGTGTATCATTACCATAATCAACAAGTATCATCATCAACAAGTATCATCATTATCGTCGCCACCCGATCATTGTGTATCATTACCATCATCATCAGTATCATCATCAACGAGTATTATCATCATCATCATCACCRTCAGCGTGTATAATTACCATCATCATCTTCAACAATCATCATCATCATCAATATCGCCACCATCATCGTGTATCATTCCCATCATATCGTCATCATGTCGTTACCATCATCATCAATATCACCATTATCTATACTACCTTCTCCATCATTAACATTATCATCATCATCCCTAGATCATTGTCATCCTCAATATTTGTACCATGAAGATCCCTAGATCATTGTCATCCTCAATATTTGTACCATGAAGATCCCTAAATCATTGTCATCCTCAATATTTGTACCATGAAGATCAAAAAAATAAAAACAACTTACTATCATGACATACTATCATCCTCATTATCTGCTCTAATAGTTCCAAACATTAACATTATTTTCCCCTCATGTTAGTAAAAGTAGTAGCGCCCAAGGAGACAGTGGTTGGGCCAGACCGCGAGAAGACTACGAACCTCCCAGTAATGCGTCTTTAATCGAGCGACATAACCGCGCCCTTACTGCTGTATCTGCCTACGGTACTTCCATAGCTCTGAACAAGACCAAGAGTAGACCTGCTTCGGCAAAATTCTCTTCAACTCGAGGTAGGTAGCTTGGGTTACAGATGCCATTCGGAAGAATAAATACTTGTTAATGTTCACAAAGCTCACATTGGATTGTCCAGCCGATAGATGCAACAGTTCTTCTTAATAGCACGCGAGGAACCGCACAAAATAGGATTGTGACAAAATAGGATCGTGACAAAATAGGATCGTGACAAAATAGGATCGTGACAAAATAGGATCGTGACAAAATAGGATCGTGACAAAATAGGATNGTGACAAAATAGGATCGTGACAAAATAGGATCGTGACAAAATAGGATCGTGACAAAATAGGATCGTGACAAAATAGGATCGTGACAAAATAGGATCGTGACCAAATGGATTATGACAAGATAGGGTTTTAGTGGACGTCAAGGGCATGTGCTTATGGAATACCATGGAAACAATTCTGCCCGTGCCATTTAGAACCACTGCAACTGCAAAAAATACCGCACCCTTAAGAACGATAGCAAGTGAAAAAACATACTTATGGGATAGCTGAAAATTGGATCAGATGCGCAAAACTTGAAGGAAAATCATGTCAACTTTACACTATACTCTGCCATATTAAGTTGCACRGCACGAATATCAAGAACATTTTCCAACACGGTCTATTCTATTCTAATCCTCCTTGTCCTTCTCTAGTTGGAAACCTCTTTTGGATTAACTCTTATCGTTTGACTTAGGTTCTGACAAAACCAGCAGAGCGTCCAGGCCTTTTTCTGCTAAAATATCACGTGACTACAAAGTTTCTGCCACTGATGATTCTGATGACTCGACAACTCAACAAAAGGGCAAGTGTCTTTGTATTTGTAGATACAATACAAGAATTATTTAAGCATTTTTTTGCCTTATCCTGCATCATGTCTTTCTTACTTACTCTCTTGAAATGCCTAAAGAGAGTAAGTAAATCCAAGAAAAGTAGTTCTCGCTGCACACTTTAACGTTTTCACTTCCCTCACAGGTTATCAAAAAACAAGTGAACAAGCCGTAGCTCATGCATTACAGAAGTTAGCCAAGAGACAGTCAGCCCGACAGTACTCACCCTTAGCATCCAACACCACTACCTCAACCAACTGGCGAGACATTTTGAGAAAGCTAGACCATAATGCAGACCAAGATCTTACGAAAACAAATGATGATGGTTATGTCAGTATTGTAAGTCACATGACCAAGCAAGATAACGACTCACATGGGTATTACAAGAAAGATTCAGTCAAGTCACATACCAGAGATGCCAATGCCAATGCTACATTTAACTCTTTTGTGAATTACGACCAAGATGATTCTGATGAACAGTTTCCACGTAATGCTGAGGTCGAGACTGCGATGCATCGGCATGCCAGATCTCATCCCTCCCAGTGGCGATCGTTACGGATTGATTTACCAAAAGAGCATGATGACCAGACCATGAATCGAGAAAGATTTGAAGATGAAAGAAAGGCACCATTAGAGTTAAAGAAGTCCATCTCTCGTGACGATTATAACCGACATATCCAACTGTTGAATCAAAAGCTATCTGAACAGAAGCTTTCTGCGCAGCAGCCCTGCCTACCACACCCACCTCCTGGACCTTCCCCTGCCAGGAAGATTATTAATGCCAAACGTATGGCAAGGTAAGCATTTAAAATAAATAAATAGAGAGAGATGTCTTTTTAACCACTGAATTTCAATCGGAATTTCAAAGTTGATTTTTGCAGAGAGAGGAAAACCAGAGAACCTACAAGCAACTTTAAAGAAAACTTAGTTGCATGGGTGAAAGGCAAATGCTGGCAGCTATGCCACCCATGCTTCCCTATTTTCCTGGGTTTTTTTTTTTTTTTTGAGATGTCATTGCCTTAGCAATTCAATGTTACTAATATTTTCGTATTACAATTGCTGTTGCAGGCTCGCAGCCTCCCATGATCAAGGGGTGGTTAACAAACAACAAGATATTCCATATCCATTGACCAATGGATACTCCTAGTAATACATTGGACCATAGCTAATGCAATTACTAACAAAAATATCCATCATTTGAATAGTGACACAGGGGCCCAGTTGTACGAAGCCTGGATAGCGCTATCCAGCRGATAAATCCTTATCCAGTGGATAAGCCGATGCTGTTATCCAATAAATTTWAAAATGGATAAGATTTATCCATTGGATAGCGCATCCACCCTTCGTACAACCGGGCCCAGGAGAATAGATCTGTATTTGTATAGCGTATCCTAAACCAGAATTTTACGGTTAACCTATTTAAACATGCAAAACTCCAAACAGCTTTGTCACTGTAATGTTTRCTTATCATTATTTGTTTATTATTTAACTGTACATAGGAATTAATACAACTCCATAGGTTTTAAAGACAAACATTTRTATTCTGGCCAGCCGCAGTTTGTAAATTTAATTCAAATTGAACAATACAATATTTATGGCTTCCAGACATTTGATATCTCCAAGATGATAGTTTTATCAAAGTCTAATTAGACAAAAGTATTTCTCTTAATTTATGGTTTCAGGCTAGTTCTTCAACCTTTGATTGTACAAAGGTTTTTTTGATAGAAATGTTTATCAATATTGAGATCTATAGATTAAAATTATAATTTTGTATGGTGACAAGCAATAAATGTTTGTAATTTTAATGGAATGTTTGTTACTTCAAAACTGGTCTTGCTGTTGCAAAATGCTATACAGCAATAGAGTGTTTTTTATAAACCCGTGAAATACACTTAAGCTTATCTTAAAAGCACTACCTCACGATAAAATATTTGTTTTCTATTGTGTTTTTGTAACTATTACACTCAATTATCACCACTCTACCATCAAACATGGTGTTGTCTCACCACTGTGTCTAGTTCAAGGCTAAACTTTAAATAGTTTGCATGGCATGGTGGACTGCAAAGCATTGGTGAATTCCATTGTCTGCCACACTTGGTATCAACATCACACAAGCGGTCCTTTTTTCTCATCTCATTTTGTTCGAGTTTTTTCGTTGTTTGATGTGTTGTTCTCTCTCTTGCCACAAGGCGTTTTCCAGTAACCCCCAGTCAAATTCAATATGATTTGAGTGTTGTGTGATGTACACAGTGAATGTAGTGGTAGTGGTAGGGGATGTGAAGCAAACGTCGCTCAACTCGAAGGAATTTTAACACTTAAAAGTGTCCACTTTCCACAAAATCCTTTATTATCAATTTTCAATACAATATGTTTCCAAGAAGAATGCATTTTTTAATGATTTTTTAGTCTCCATGCCGAGTAAGAGAAAAACTTTTTGTATGAACGTCCTGCCAGGCATTTCATCCCAAGCAACTTCCTTAAAGCTACCACCAACAAGACTCCATTTATCGTCCGTTAAGAAGTCTGGTAATGTATTAGTATATTTATGAGGTCTCTTGATGGATATCGTTACTCCAGTGGATGGACCAGTACGGATTGATATTGTCCTGAAATTGATGAAAAGAGATATCAAAATAATTGAAAATTTACAGCAGTAAGAGCACTTTGATCTCACTAATACAATCGGTTCTCTTCCGTTCATGCACTTCACATTTCCAGGGTAAGAGAGGATTACAAAAAATTGAGTGGCCATGATAGTTCACTTCCAAGATATACTTTGTTTGTCACACGCAAAGGTTTCAGTACAAGGCTATGTGCAAAATTAGTTATTCTTTTCTCCTTTCACGAATCACTGAGCAATATGCACAAAGCATAGCATTGAATCCTTTGTGCATGACAAGTGAAGCAGAATTTGGAAGTGAGCTATTTCTTTCTACTAACCTATCAGCATCAGATGACGTCACCACCATTCCAGCCACGTGTCCCTGGCTCTCAGTGGTTCCTGTAGGGAGGTGACGGTTGATGTGGAGAACCTGCCAGCCAAGACTCAGAGCAATGGAGTATGCTATGAGAATATGGTGTTGCGCTATCTGTTAAAGGGAATATGACATCACTATGTACATTAAAAATATATGCATTTTTCTATGGTTTCGAAKATGTTTTGGGGGGAGGGGTGGGTTTTGGATATTGGAATGAAGTATATGAATACCAGTACTTCAGTACTTCCTGGAAAAAAACGAATCCAGAAGAACACATGGTAATGTTGGTTATTTAACATACCTGGGTTAAAAAGAAATCCTTGAGATCCTGTAAATGACTAGTAAACACCACACTTGTCCCACTGGAACAGATAACATTGATGTCTTTGATGCCGATCTGTAAGCGAAATGATACCCTGCAAAGAAGAAATCATTTCATTTTAAAAAAGGGAAAATATGTGATTCCCTCTGTACTGGTCGGAGGTAAAATTTCACTACCGACAACACTGACAGAACATACTTTCCTATATCTTGAATCTCTGGTGAATATATGTGAACTACGGCAGAAGTACAGGTCTCTGATGACACACTACTCCAGTGACATAGTATACAGGGTTCAGTGATCTCTGTTGTCAAGGTGTCAATCATTTCCATCACCCTAGCAACAAAAAAGGCTTTTCTCTTAATGGCATGTACAATAACAAATATGTCATTCCTGTAAGACAGTTGCATGACAATTAACTTCTGCATACATATGATGTAACTCTGGACTTTGTTAATAAAACAAATATCAATCAAACAATAAATTACTAACTTGGAGTGCTGCTTCCTCCATCAAAACATATTTTACCTTTTTCTTAATATTTCATGCTTTGAAACTTTTATAATTGTTTCTAAAATTGTGTCACTGCAAGAAAAAAGAAAATGCAAGTTTAAGAAGCCACTAAGCAAGAAATATGAATGAAGATATTACTAATAGACTTGATGACTTTTCTCAGAACCTTTCAAGTGTTGTCTTCACTTCATTAGCTCTTAAAGCAGCTGGTCCTGCGATCCTTAACTTCTTGTTGGTACCAGGTATCTGACGAGCTGTGATGGGGTGTGGTAACACAACACTTTGATTGTGCTTGTGTCGTCTTCGTAGCAGTGAGTGAAGGGCATATTCTAATGGCTTTAAAGTTGTTGCAACTGGTTGTTCATGAGCACCCTGGAAAAAAGAATTGAGTAAGCGAAACTGGTTTTTCTTTCACTGTCTCCAGTCAGCAACATAAGAGGTACCAACTGATTACTTTGATTGATGGCAACGGGGGGAAAAACGAAATTTCAGYATGCAGCTCGTAACTACCGGGCTAGCAGAATATCGAAAACCACAGTAAGACAAAAGGTAATATGATAGTAGAGTAGACCTTGCATGGCCTGAATATGACATATTCAAGTTATGGAGTTTGATAATATACCCTTACAGTGTTTCCAGTAACTGTTCCTTCTGTAGTGCTGTCTTTTTCATGAGTGTAGGTTATACAAAGATCGACTCCTGGAAAAACCTGTAATTTAGATGAATTAAAAACATCAACCATAAGAAATGAAAGTCTATTGCATTTGTGCAAAGTCCTCCCAAATTCGATGCTAAATGCATGTCAAGTCAAGTCAAGTTTATTTCACACACAAAATTTACAGCAGGAAAAATAGGAATATTGATATAGAGTTTAACAGTTAAGAAATTTACAGAATCAATATTTACAAAGCGAGATCAAGTTAGTGTGTATGGCTGTTGAAAAAGTATGAACTATCGAGTCAACAGCCATAAATTACATGATTACACTGAGYGATTTTCTCTGCTACTTGTCTTGCATCAAAGTTGCAAAAGGGTTTACATATAGTGCAATGGAGTTGCAAACGCTGCCAAAGCTAGAAACGATTCTTCTTTTTGCAACGATTGCTGCAACTTGTCTCACAACATTTTTTTAAAAATTGCGCTGTAGGTTACATGCTGCAATGCTCCATGCAACTTGCGTCGCAACACTGTTGCAAGACAAGTTGCAGAGAGAATTGTTTTGTGCAATCGTGCCTTGAGGAGCCAAAAATGCTGTATGGCCTGGGTTGCTAAATATAGTTGTTCATTACTACCTCTGTCTTGATTTCTTGGCCCATCACAAGGTTAATATTTGGTCCTCTGCTGTTATATRCCTCTTGACACAACTAAATAAAATAAAATAATTGAGGTGGTTGACAAAACAGAATAAATTGAGGTTTGTACTATGAAATCTATATCTGATACCTGTTTATTGCCATTTTGATAAACATGCGAACTCAGTAGCTGTGAGCTGCAGGCTGAAATTTGGTTTTTCACTGCCGTCAATCAAAACTTATCAGATGGTACCTTTCATATTTTTGACTGRCGGCAGTGATAAAACCAACTTAAGCATGCAGCTAGCAGCTACCAAGCTTGCATGTTTATGAAAATGTCAGTAATAATCCCAGGATTCATTCTTCTAAAAACAGTTGGAGTTATTCTCTATTCTGATGTGTTTTACCTGGGTAAATAGCTCTTTACAGAAAATATTTTCTTGAGCAGACTGGAGTTTTTGTTGCCACAAGGGAGYGTTACTAGTGTCTTGGAGGTTTGCAAGGACTCTTGTTTTTGCTGTGGAAGAAATAAGTTTACTTAGAAAGCTTTTCTATGGATTTTTTTTTCAGTAACTCATTTTGTTAAAACATCAAACAAAGCAACATGCATTTAATAAAAAAAATAAGTAATAAAAGACCTGTTGAGTTATGAAAAAAAAWTTTTTATCAAGAAATAACTACCTTTAGTTTCATCTGGTGTTGCTCTAGACTCACAAATACTGACAGTTACAGATGCTTTTCCCTCCAGGTCACTGCCAACTTTGACCTCCAGTGAACTGGAATCATTAGTGGCAGGTGATTGGCTTTCTTCCTCATCTGTCTGTGTTGCCTTGGTTACCTCAAACAGACCTGGGTTCCAGAACTGAGAGCCCGCTACAAAGAGAAAACAGATCATCATAAGACTGYCTGAGTTATTTTCCGCATAATGTGAATCAAAGAATATATGACTAGCATGATACAATTAAAGAACAGTAAAAACGACAGCAAGGAATAGCATGGCAAAATGAGTAGAACAGTAATACATGCCATGACAAAGTACAGCAAGGCACAGCACAACATGACAAAGTACAGCAAGGCACAGCACAACATGACAAAGTACAGCAAGG